CCCATTACTTGTCCCAGCTTCTGCCAATCTAACAATTCAAAAGCACATAAAAATGCAAGTAGAAAACTAGGAATCACCTGGGAAGGTAACAGCATTTACCTGCTGTTATGCGCCTTCGGCATTTAATCATGCCAGCCATATGACCATGGAGATGTCTTCGGACAGCACTGGCTCTTCGGCTTTGAAACGGAGATGAGCACCGCCCCCTAGAGTCAGGAATGACTAGCACATATGTGCGAGGGGAACCTTTACCTTTACCTTTAATTATTCTTGTACATAGTTGCAGGTTGAATGTTGAGAACAAAATGGAAGTATTTGATTTCCTCTGTTTAAGGAAACTGGTGGGTAATTTTGGTTTACTCAAGACAGCCACAGTGAATGACAAGATTTTGCTATATATCATTATGTGTGTGAAGAGCTCTTGTGAATTTAAGTGGTGGTTTCAGTAATGTAAGATTAATACAGATTAGTGTGTATACAGAGAACTTGTATTTCTTGTAAATACCAATATTATAATTTCAATTGCCTCCATCCAAGACCTATATGATACATGCTAAAAGCATAAATGAGGAAATCTCATTCTCATAATTTTAAAACTTCTTTAAATTTTCCACTTTTGCAAGAATTCCTGAAATAATAAACCATAAGTTATCAGCAGCACACATTTCCTAAATAATGAGTTACCTGGAAATGTAGAACAATGCAACATGAATACAATGTCACAGGTGTCAAACTCGCTGCGTCACGTTGCCGTCACGTGATGTTTCACATCGTTTTCCCCCTTTGCGGAGTTGGGGTGGGCGTGGCTTGCGCATGACGCATCCAGCCCACAGGCCACCAGTTTGACAACCCATGCAATAAGTGACTAGGTGATTTCATAAGAATGTGGATGATTTTTATCAGCATCTCTAAAAAACTTGCTGTATCTTAGGTTATTTTTAGTCCTGTTGGTAAAACGGCAATGTGAAAGGAAGTAACTCAACAGGGAAATAAATGGAAATATTTAATCTCTGTATTGCTGGTCAGAATCCCACCCAGCTGAATTTGTTCATTTTCCCAACTTTGTGTATCTACCACTGTTTTTCTATTAACATACATGGGAAAAGAAGAAGTCAAAAGAAGACAGGTTATCAGAGCCACATTTGTGTTCAGTAAGGACTATTCAATTATAGTATATATAGTAACCTGGAGGAAGGCAATTCTCTAAGGTTCTGCATGTTTTCCATTATTCCCTTGTCTGTCCTTTCCTTCCATTCTCTAGTCTTGCTGTTCTGCTTTCTAGATCAATAAATGCTTCAGGCAGAATGGATTAATTAATTGACATATTCTTGAATACTTCTCCCTTAAAACTATGGGGATATAGTGTTGCTTTGAACCCTATCAGGAGAAGTCTATAAGGGTAATTCCTTGGCAACTCTCTTAGACTGCAGCTCTCCTGCTAGGCTGTACTGTAGTATAAGGCGTGCACTCTGAGCAAGGCTGCTAATATGCTGAGTCAGCATGACTGGCTCAGCACAGCCATGCAGGACCCTGGCTGCCAAGCTATTTTTAAATGTGGTTTCATCCGACTCCAGCTCTTTCCAAATCTTCCTTTTCGTGAGCATTTGCTCTTAAGATTTATAGAAAGCTGTGGGGTTGGCAGAGACTGGGCAGAATTTGTCAAGAGCTTGTGTAAATCCCACAGTTGGTTCGTACTGTATAGAGAATACCTGTATTTGGTGCTTCCTTTCCTGCTTAGTCTGAGTATATATAGCTGCTTTTGGATGATATAGAACTTGACTTTGATAACATCTACCCATTTTGTATCTTACAGAATCCGATTGTGAAGGCTTGCGTGTTATGACGACCCCCAACAAAGGAAACAAAGCCTTGAAGGTAATAAAGCGAGACCTGGGGTTAGCTGGCCATGCATGCAACCAGAATCCCTTTTAAGCATGTTTCTACGGTCTCTGCAGGTGAAGCGGGAGCCAGGGGAGAATGGGACCAGCTTGACAGATGAAGAGCTGGTGACCATGTCTGTACGGGAGTTGAACCAGCATCTGCGGGGCTTATCTAAGGAAGAGATCATCCAACTCAAGCAACGCCGGCGGACCCTGAAGAACAGAGGCTATGCTGCCAGCTGCCGGGTCAAGAGGGTAACCCAGAAGGAAGAGTTGGAGAAACAGAAGGCAGAACTTCAGCAGGAAGTGGAGAAGCTGGCTTCAGAGAACGCTAGCATGAAAATGGAACTTGATGCCCTGCGTTCCAAGTATGAGGCACTGCAGAACTTCGCCCGGACCGTTGCCCGGAGCCCTGTCACCCCTGCCCGGGGCCCACTTGCTTCCAGCATGGGGCCCCTTGTTCCCGGCAAAGTTGCCACCACCAGCGTTATCACGATAGTTAAATCCAAAACGGACGCCCGGTCTTAGTGAAACGAGCACTGCCTGGGCTTGTCTGTGCAGGGCAGTTAGGCACAAAGCTCATCCGGAACCCCCAAAGCACAACCCTCTCCCAGATGGCCCAGCCCACACAGGCACACGCTGGCCTGTTCGTCACTGCAGTTGCTTTGTTTTTAGCTTGTTCTGGTTGATGTGACTGATGGTAACGCAGCCTTTCCATTGTGAACAGAACCGTCCACCTAGTGTGTTCTGAAAATGGAAGCTGAAGGACCTCAGTGCTCTTGCCAAAGAGATTTTCAGCAGCATGGAATCCATTCTTGGGTAGGAATAACCCAAAGGGGAGGGAAGAGGTCATAGAGAGTTGGAAGACCTGCTGTCAGTGATGACTTCAATGCCGTTCTTCCAGGGTTGAGTCAGCTGTCCAGTCTGCTGCTTGTAAATTGCTTGGTATCAGGGGGGGTAGTTTGTGTAACCATTTTTATATTACCATCTAGTTGCACCTTTTAGGTTTGAAGATGGGATTCCTTAGGACTTTCCCTGAAGGAGAGGGAAGCGGGGAAAACAGCTATTTCCTGGTGTCTGTGCTGCAGAGGAAGGAAAGTAGCCAGGAACGAGCACTGTTGTGTCTACGTACCAGACGAAGTGGGTTACATTGCAGTGACCACAGGCCGGTTTTGTGCCTAATGTGTTGCACTGAACAAGACCAAAATCACTAGTTGTTTTCTGTTGTTTGGAGCGTATCCAGTGTCTCTAGTGTGATGGTTTACACAACTGGTTTATGTAGTTTAAATAGCCCTTTATTTAAAAGAGAAGCATTCATTTAAAGAGTTATTAAATGATCTAAGTTTCAAATCTACAATTCGGTGAAGCACTTCTATTTAACGGTCTCCTTTTAGCCTGAGAAGGTGAGAATATATGATTGTCATATTCTCGGAGACACAAAATGCAAATTTTAAAAGTTTCTCGTTAAGTCTTTGTGGCTCTGAGGTTGGTTTTTATAAAGAGTTATTAGACTTTTATTTATAAATAACATAGGAAAAAACAAAAAAAAAGAGGCTAGTCCTGTTTGATATCTTTTTGCAATTGTACCAAAAGTGACTTATTCTTGAATTCCCCATCTGCTTCTTTTGTATTCCTGTTATATTTAATTGTCTGTGCTCTGAGGTCTTTTGTGGCGCTGTGACGTGATGGTGCCAGTGGCCACTTTGCTATGTGGATGTCCTGTGAGCATTTGTTCGGCTTTCCCAGGGCTGAGTGCAGGTTTTCTGGGGAATTTGCCAGTAGGCCTTCTCAAAGGTTTGGTCTCATGAGAAAAATTACCTGAATCTGAAGCCTGAAAAGAATGAATTCTTTTAAGAGGTTAACAAAACTGCTTAAAGATAGCTGGCAGACAGTGTTGCATTATATCATGTCACTTATATTACAATTGCCAAAAAAATAATAATATTTTTTTTGTTTTTTCCTATGTTATTTATAAATAA